GAGAGAGAGAGAGAGAGAGGGCGGGCACGGCTGCCAGTCAAGCAGGAGAGGAAGTGGGCTAGGGAAACAGGAAGGAGGCTGGGCTGGGCCTGAATCCCCCGTCCCAGGCTCGGGGTGAGCCTTGCCCCTTCCCACAATGCCTTCCCACAATCCTTCCCACAGTGAGGACATGTGCTCTCTGTAGATGCGGGCCCCTCCCATGCCGGCATCGGCTGTGAGACTCCCAAACCACCCCAAGAGAAAGCCCCATTGCAGAGAGCCTCATTCAGAATTGGGGGCCAAGCCACCCTCTGAGAGTCAAGCCTGTGTGGAGAGGGGTACAAGTCCCAGTGACAGCAGCACGTCAGCTCCGGGCGGCTCAGTCAAAGGCTGGCAGTGCCGCTCTCAGCCTCCCTGGCTCAAGCTCCAAGGCCCAGAGGGGTCTTCCCCCTGCCCCGCGGGAGCTCAGGGCCCATGGGCTCCCCCAAACCAGCCCCCACATAGCTCTCCCAGCCCCCCTGAGGTTTCCTTCTTGAACGCAGGGTTCCCTGGATCCCAGGAGCTCCGAGGAGGGGCCGCCCCCTTCCTTCGTCCTAACCGTGGGGGTTGGGGGGCGGGAGGCTTTTGGCGCTGAATGACAGCACTGAGCTGGCCTCTCTGTGCCTGGCCGAGCAGACCCCCTGCCCCTGCCAGCCCGTGCTGGGCTGCGCCCTCAGCCACGTGCCTGCCCCCACCGGGCGTCCCACGGGGACTGGCTCCAGGCCGCCCCCTCTTCGGGGACGCCGACCCCTTGCCTGGGCAGGACAGTGACTTGTTCACACAGAGCCAGCTCCCACCCTCTCTTGCGCCTCCTGACGCAGAGCGAGGTTGGGGCCGCTCAGACCGTGACGCCCTCTGTCCCGCATCCCCCAGGGCTGGCGAGGCAGAGATGGAGCCGGAGTCCCTCTACAACCTGCTGCAGCTCCCTAAGGAGGCGAGCCTGCCCGTGCTAGAGGAGCTGCCACAAGGTGCTGGGCCACACGGGGCTGGGGGCCGGGCAGAGGGGGCGTCGCCACACCGAACGGCCGGGCCCGGGCACTGCATTGCTTTCCAAGTTGTCAGCCGAATACTTGTCTGTTCAGCCCCTGCCTACACCTTCTGTCTTACACTCGACAGCCCCTCCCCGCTTCTGGAAACTTCCGCAGTTATCCCCATGCCCCTCACAACCGCACGCCCCCAGGTTCGTGATGACGCTGTGCTAAGCCCTTCTTACCAGCAGCATCTCATTTCCTGCTCTGAGGCTAGGTGCTATGACCTCCTGTTTACAGACGAGGGAACCGAGCACTGAGAGTAACAGAGAATAACAGGTAGCTCCGTCGGTAAGCGGTCGAGCAGGGATGCTGAGCCCGAGGAGGGTGGCTCCAGGATGCAGACTCCACGCCCGCCGTGCCGTCCTGGGGGACCCCTGCACACATCCGACATTGGGCTGGGTGTCAGATCCGCTCCCTTCACACGGCGGGCGAGAGGGGAGAGACTTGTTAGTCAGCGGGCGTGGGTGCCGCGTTCAGCAAATCTCTGTTCTCTGAGCTCTGGAGTTTGTGGCCTCGGCCCCCGAAATCTCCCTCCCAGGAGATAGTTCGAAAGGATGGTAGCAGGTGCCCAAAGCTGTCACCGCCCCGTTATAGAAAACAGACAACAAACCAGGATTCAACCCAAATGTCCTCCTTGGCAAGGGCGTTAAGTGAACTCACCAGAATTTACATAACCTTTAAACATAAGTACGATGATGGAGAAAAAGCGTGAAGTGATTTAAGCAAAAGAGCAGAGTGCGACCTTTCCGAGATGCTGTGAATGCAGCCTTTTGAAACAGGCGTGGACCAGAGTCCCCTGGAGCGGCAAGTGGACCCAGGGGTTTGGGTGGCCGTGGTCCAGAGTCACGAGCCTGACTCCGTTAACCGTCCGGGGCTCTCTGTTTACAGCTGGTTTTGGACGAGAAAGCATCACGAGGAAAGTTGCCGTGAGGGTCTCGGGCTTAGTTATTAGAAACAATACTTAATGTTGTTTTAGTTGATTTGGAGATACTTGAAGCTCTGGCAAGCAGAGTTGGGACATGGGGTGATCGAGTGGCAAAAAATCTGGCCAATAAGGGATGGGGGTTGTTTCACCACAGCCATCCATTCGTTTGCCCTCACCCGCTCCGTGAGCGTTTGTCCAGAGCCCGCCAGGCGCCCGGCACGATAGACGTCCCTCCTTCTCGTCAGAAGATACGGGCTGGGTGGTATTCGAAGGTTTTCAGAACGTCCAAGAAAAGTCCCCAGCTGAGTCACGTGAAGACAGAGACGATGCATTTTGTGAACCTGGGCAAGGCGATCCCCACATGGTGATCCCCACTCCATTGGCACTAGATGATCTCACAGGACCCTGTCACCCTGACATTTTGTGGGTTCTGTGAGTCTAAAACGTGGGGAAGCTGCTGACCAGGGTCCTGGGGCTCAGAGAGCGAGCTCAGAGGCCTCAGTGGGCCGCCCATGCCAGGGAGCCAGACAGACGTGGGTGAATCCGCCTCGGCCCCTTGGAGCTCGTCTGAGCGGTGGCTTCTTATGTAAGTGGGCAGAGTTGCCGGATCAAACAGGACACCTAGTTACACGCGAATTTCAGATAGACAAGAAGTAGCTTTTAAATATATTCCCCAAGTGTAAATGTGGCAGAGTCTGAGGATGAGCTGGCGTTCATGAGGGAAGTTTTGGGAAGGGCATTTGGGGTGCAGGGAAAACAGCCCAGGCAGAGGTGTGGAGGGCCAGGCTTGGCCGGGAACCAAGTCACTTTGCTGTTTGGTGCTTAGGATGTGTGCGTACACGTGTGTATGTGTGTGTCTATGATTATGTGTGTCTGTGTGAGTACACTTGTGTGCGTTGTGTGTGTGCATATGTGTGCATGCATGTGTCGGTATGTTTGTGATTGTGGTGTCTGTATGCATGTGTCTGTGCATCTGTGGGTAGGTGTGTCTGTGTATGTATCTGTGTGCATGTGCCTATGTGTGTGTGCAGCTGTGTGCCTGCGTGAGTGAGCACATTTGTATGCATTGTGTATGCACGTGTGTGGATGTGTGGATGTGTGTGTGGGCAACCGTGTGTAGCTGTGCGTCTGCGTGTGTGAGCACATCTGTGTGTGTGAAGCAGCAGGGTGTGTCTGTGTATGTATCTGTGTGCATGTGCCTATGGACCTATGTGTGTGTGCAGCTGTGTGCCTGCGTGAGTGAGCACATCTGTGTGTGTGAAGCAGCAGGACCACACTTCCCATGTGGTCATGGTGCCAGCTCTGAGGGTGACCTGCAAGGAGAGAGCTGCCAGGGCCTTGCAGGTCCCCCCCACACATCATGCTCACCTCTGCTTCCAGGAGAAAAGAAGAAATACATACTCCCCACCTCCCGGAAAGACCCCAGATTTGAAGAGTTGCAGAAGGTACGCAGCCTCCCTAGCCCTGACTTTCTGGGGATGGCTGTGGTCATGGTGCCAGCTCTGAGGGTGACCTGCAAGGAGAGAGCTGCCAGGGCCTTGCAGGTCCCCCCCACACATCATGCTCACCTCTGCTTCCAGGAGAAAAGAAGAAATACATACTCCCCACCTCCCGGAAAGACCCCAGATTTGAAGAGTTGCAGAAGGTACGCAGCCTCCCTAGCCCTGACTTTCTGGAGGCAGCTTGTTGTCCTCTTGGGGATGGGGGGCCGCCCTGCCCTCCCTGACCTCAGGCTGGTGGGTGGTGACTCTGCAGGTCCCTGGGACATCAGTCGAATGGCTACATGAAGGGACATTTCTTGAGCACCGACTGTATACATTTATAGACACAATCCCAGCAAGCCTCACAGGATTGAGAGGGATCTGTTGTCACCTGCATCCCAGGGAGGGGACAACAATGCTCACAGAGGTGACCTGACCTGCGGGGGGCACACAGCTGCCCAGAGACAGAGCTGGGGATCGATCCAGGCTGTGGGCCCCAAAGCTTGTGCCCCTTCACTCACTCGGCTGCCCACGGCAATGGACAGCTGGCGAAGTGGGCAGGAACAGGCGTGTCACCCAGTTCTCGGTTCTCACTTTGGCTGCGGGACCAGCTGGGCACAGGCTCGGGGTCTCTGTCTTCTCCGCCCTGTTTCTCTAGTCTCCATGTGGCCTTTCTGTTGCCTCCTCCAGGGAGGCCTCTTGACCTGCTCCACCTTCCACCCCCGGGGCTTTCTGGCCCGTTTTCCAGCCCTTCCTTCCTTTCTCCCGTTCCCTGACTCCTTCCATTCACCCTTCCCACTGTCGGGCACTGGGACACAGAGTAGACCCAGCATGGTCCCTTCGGGAAAACCTGGCAGGTGCTGACATGTCATCTTAGACTGGGTTCCTCCAAAAACGGATCCCAAGATAAGGGTGTGGGTACAAGTGGTTGAGTTGGGGGGTGGTTGAGTCAGGGGGTGGTTGAGTTGGGAGGTGGCTGAGTCGGGGGGTGGTTGAGTCGGAGGTGGTTGAGTTGGGGGGTGGTTGAGTTGGGAGGTGGCTGAGTCAGGGGGTGGTCGAGTTGGGGGGTGGTTGAGTCGGGGGGTGGCAATCACAGGAGACAAGGAAAGGAAGTAGGAAAGTAAGATGGGAGGAAAGAAGTCCCCCAGGGTGAATGATGGGACAGGTGACAGCTGTGGGAGCTCTGGTCTGTGGGGTGCCTGTGGGAGCCAGTGTGGACAGCACCTCGGAGAGTTTCTACCCAGGAGTGGAGGGCCTGAGTAATTGTACCCCAACTTCTGGTTAGCTCGGGCTGCTCCCTTAAAGGGCTGGGGCATTATTTCTCTGCCGCTTCTGGCCCTGGAGGAGAAGCAGGGTGGGCTGGCCTCCAGGGACGCCCCGGAGGGGAGCAGCCAGTGTGCTGGGACAGACCACCAGCAGCCTTCCTGTTACTACTACCGTACACAGGACAAACAACAGCCCGGGTCTGTGTCAGAGAGAAGCAGAAGGTCTTCCGGAGGCTAGAGCAGGCCCCTAACTCAGCCCGAGAGATCAGGGAGGGCTTCCCGGAGGAGGTGACTTTTGACCTGGCCTTGAAGGATGGATGGGAGTTGGCAGGTGGGAGGAGAGCATTCCAGGATGAGGGGAGTGCTGAGCCAGGTGAGGGGCCAGGTGGAAAGGGGCCCCCAGATGAGCGGTCCCCTGGGGGCTGCAGGTGCTGATGGAGTGGATCAATGCGAAGCTCCAAGCCGAGCACATCGTGGTCCGCAGCCTGGAGGAGGACGTGTTTGACGGGCTCATCCTGCACCACCTTTTCCGTAAGCTGCTGCCCCACCCCCTGCTGCTGCGGGTCCCTGCCGGGTGCCTCACCTCATCTTCCCACACCTGGCTGAGCTTAGCGCACGACTTTCTCTGCTAAGCCCCGGCCCCTCCCACCCCACGCTGCTCCTCGAACACTGCGGAGGGCCCGCTGTCTCTAGCTGCTGGAGACAACAAAGTAACCCGCATCCCTGCCCCAGCCTGCCCCGGGCTGCAGGATGGCGAGATGACCCAGCAGCTAGAGGCTGGGTGCTCCGGTCCCAGTATGGAAGCCCCTCAGGGCTGCCTCCTGGCCCTGAGGCCTTCTCCCTGCCCCCACCCTTGGCTGCTGCGCCGGGGGTGGGTCTAGTTATGGGTCTAATTGTCTGCCTTCTGTGAGGTCTTGGAGGGCAGGGGTGGGTCTGATTCTTGTGGCGCCAGCCTGGGGCCTGGCTCCGCACCGTTCCGGGTCCTACAAAGGGCTACAGAAACACCCACCTGCCAGGGTGGATGCTTCCTGAGCATTTACCATGGGCAGGTGTGGTCAACACCCAGGACAGCTCTGAGGTGTTACTATCCCCATTTTACGGATGAGGAAACTGAGGCTCTGAGAGGCCTGGTCACTTGTCCGAGGCCTCACAGTGAAGAAAGCAAGGGAGTCAGGCTTTAACTGCTGGTCCACACCGCCCTGCGGAAAGGAAGTGCACACAGCTGAGCGGAAGGCTGAGGGGGTGGGCACAGGGGGTGGTCGAGGTGCGGCAGGCTGGCGGAGGGCAGCGCAGCGGGCCCGGGCTCGCTCAGGTCCCACGGCCTGCATATCCCGTGCACGGAGGGGCAGTGTCCTTACCTCCTGGAGGCAGTGCCTATGGGTCCCCCTGCAACGGCCCAAACTGTCCTCACCCCGCACCCTCCCTCTCTTTCCCCTGCCTCTGCCACCCTCAGAGAAGCTGGCGGGGATCAGGCTGGAAGTGGAGGACATCGCCTTGACCGCCGTGAGCCAGAGGCGCAAGCTCGAGGTGGTCCTGGAGGCTGCCAACCGCAGTCTGCCGGCAGAGGAGCCGCAGGTCAAGTGGAGTGTGGACGGTACGTGGGGCCTCGGCCCGGGCCAGCGTCCAGGCCAGGGCTGGCGGAGCCTGGGTCCTTCTGCTCCAGGGGCGGTGGCTCAGCCGCGTCAGGTGTGGGCACAACCTCGGCGCTTGGACCGAGGCCGAAGCCTCAGGCAGACGCCACGTGGGCCCTCAGTCGAGCAGCCCAAGGCACTTCTGTTTCCCGAGGTTGTCACCCCTGCAAAGCCGAGAACCGTGGCCTTAGGACCCAGCGGCTGTGGGCTGAGTTCCAAATCCTCGACGAGCCCATCTCCCCGTTGGAGGGGCGCGCACAGTCCTGTTTTATTAATTTGTTGAAATTATGTCTGCGGTGCCTGCTTGTCGGAAATGAGAGTGTGCAAAGCACCTAAACCTCCCCACCCCAGCCCTTAACAGTTGGGCGCGAACGTCCCGCCCTTCCAAGCTCTACATTCTCCCCATCTTCCACTCGGGAGAACCGATGCGTATAATGTCGACCCTGAATTAAGTCACATTCAGCTTAAACCTAACGATCGGTCTACCGCCCAGTGTCCTACTGCGAGAAGGGCGTGCATTTGTTTCCGATGGTAAACAGCGCTTCGGTGACCCATCTCTGTGTCTCGTCCCCATCGGCACGGTGGGCTGTGTCCTGGGCTGGATTTGCAGAGGCGGGGTGACGGGGCAAAGCGTGACTGTTTTTCAGTCTGGACGTAAACCTCCAGGCCTCCGCTTTCCAGAGGCTGGACACAGATCTCCTCGGTCTTCAGAGGGTGCTCGTGACCTCAGGAGACCCCCCCGTGGCCCCAGGTTTGGGCGGTCACTGTGGCTCTGATCTCATAGCCCTCTCCCCTCCCAGCCATCTTCGGCAAGGACCTGCTGGCCACCTTGCATCTCCTCGTGGCCCTGGCCGAGCGCTTCCAGCCGGACCTGGCCCTCCCGAGCAATGTCCAGGTGGAGGTGATCACCATGGAGGTAAGGGCTGGACACGGGGGTCTCCTCACGCAGCGTGAGCATCTCGGGTCCACGGTGCCGTGCCCTGGACTGAGGGATGTTTTACGGGACGGGGCTGAACCACACGAGAAGCATCACACCCCACCAGGACAGGAGTGGGTGCTGGTCTGGAGCTGTGAGTGGGAGATGCTAAGAATCCCGGGGGACTGGCAGGGACCCAGAGGGGCCACGAGGAAGTCGGCGGGCTGACCAGTCCCACTTACCCCAACAGATGGCATCCGCCCGGGGATGTTAGGAAGGTCTTGGCTGATGGCAGCCAGGTCATGTGGGCCATACACGGCCATCTGTTCATGGCCTGTCGGGAGCCTTCACACCACTGAGCCACAGCCACTGTCCTCGTCACTGTGGCACCCTCTCGCATTCACCCGCCGATGGCTGTGACCGCGGTTCCGGGGCTTCTCTACCCCATGCGGCCCTCTCTAGTTCCTGCACGACTCGTGCTGTGGCGCATGGCCCAGGAGTCCACGGCTTCTGTCTCAGACACACTCGGAGCACCACAGATAGGGCCCCTGACCTGCTTCCCGTTACACACCAGGCTCTGGGTACCCCGTAAGCAGCGGAGCATCCAGTTCTGGGGTTTACCCTGACTCGATCCAACAGAATAAGCCAAGTCTGGCCAAACTCAGGTGAATTCATTCTTACTTTCTTTCAAAACCATTGATTAAAATTCTCCATTGAGCAGTTTTGTGGCTTTGTTTATCCTTCTTATGTAAATCAGAGGCGACTCCATTTCTTCACTCATTCATTTATCCATCCATCCATCCATCCATCCATCCACCCATCCATCCATCCATCCATCCATCTATCCATCCATCCATCCATCCATCCATCCACCCATCCATCCATCCATCCATCCATCTATCCATCCATCCATCCATCCATCCATCCACCCATCCATCCATCCATCCATCCATCTATCCATCCATCCATCCATCCATCCATCCACCCATCCATCCATCCATCCATCCATCTATCCATCCATCCATCCATCCATCCATCCACCCATCCATCCATCCATCCATCCATCTATCCATCCATCCATCCATCCATCCATCCACCCATCCATCCATCCATCCATCCATCTATCCATCCATCCATCCATCCATCCATCCACCCATCCATCCATCCATCCATCCATCTATCCATCCATCCATCCATCCATCCATCCACCCATCCATCCATCCATCCATCCATCTATCCATCCATCCATCCATCCATCCATCCACCCATCCATCCATCCATCCATCCATCTATCCATCCATCCATCCATCCATCCATCCACCCATCCATCCATCCATCCATCCATCTATCCATCCATCCATCCATCCATCCATCCACCCATCCATCCATCCATCCATCCATCTATCCATCCATCCATCCATCCATCCATCCACCCATCCATCCATCCATCCATCCATCTATCCATCCATCCATCCATCCATCCATCCACCCATCCATCCATCCATCCATCCATCTATCCATCCATCCATCCATCCATCCATCCACCCATCCATCCATCCATCCATCCATCTATCCATCCATCCATCCATCCATCCATCCACCCATCCATCCATCCATCCATCCATCTATCCATCCATCCATCCATCCATCCATCCACCCATCCATCCATCCATCCATCCATCTATCCATCCATCCATCCATCCATCCATCCACCCATCCATCCATCCATCCATCCATCTATCCATCCATCCATCCATCCATCCATCCACCCATCCATCCATCCATCCATCCATCTATCCATCCATCCATCCATCCATCCATCCACCCATCCATCCATCCATCCATCCATCTATCCATCCATCCATCCATCCATCCATCCACCCATCCATCCATCCATCCATCCATCTATCCATCCATCCATCCATCCATCCATCCACCCATCCATCCATCCATCCATCCATCTATCCATCCATCCATCCATCCATCCATCCACCCATCCATCCATCCATCCATCCATCTATCCATCCATCCATCCATCCATCCATCCACCCATCCATCCATCCATCCATCCATCTATCCATCCATCCATCCATCCATCCATCCACCCATCCATCCATCCATCCATCCATCTATCCATCCATCCATCCATCCATCCATCCACCCATCCATCCATCCATCCATCCATCTATCCATCCATCCATCCATCCATCCATCCATCCATCCATCCATCCATCCATCCATCCATCCAACGATCCATCCATCCAACGATCCATCCATCCACGTATTCCATTCACCTGTTATTCAGAGACACATGTTCACTGACTCCTGTGATCCAGGCGCTGCGTGACACCTGGGGATCCTTGGGGAACGAGGTAGACATGGTCCCCACCCTGTGGGACTCGAGGCTCATGGGAAGAAGGACAATTAGCTGAACCAGGGTGATGAGACTGCCCAGGAAGCCGCTCTGAGGGGGGATGAGGCTGAGAAAACTGGGTCCCTCGGGGCTGCTTTGGCCACTACGGACTCGGAGCAGCAGCCTGGGTCCCCGAGTTTTCAGGGATTACTCACTTCCTCCCCATTTTTTCTTCCTTAGAGCACCAAGAATGGCCTGAAGTCTGAGAAGTCGATGGAACAGCTCACTGCATGCAGGTGAGGGAGGGAGCAGGGTGCTTGGCGCGTGCCTGGCTCCGGTTTCTTGGGAATTGGAGGTGACCTCTGCCGGCTCACTTCACCCTCTGCACAACCCAGCAAAACTGGCAGAGATGGGGTCAGAAGGGGCTCTGGCCCTTGGTCACGAGGTCACGCCGTAGCCATGGGGGACCAGCAAGACCCTGACGCCATGCTGCTTGCCTATGGCCTGGCACCTGGGCCCTCTTGGGGACCCTTATCTTGTTCACAGCAGGGACGCGCTGCCGCTGAGTCACCCTGACAGCTGGACAGCAGAGCCCTGTGGGAGGCGAGGGCACCAAACGCTCACTCATACCACCAACATTTATCGAGCACCTACTGTATGCAGTCAGAGAGCTCTGTCCTTGAGTGTCCAGGTCAGCCAGCTCCTGGCCTTCTATCTGGGCAAGCGGGACACCCAGAGAAGCTCTGCCTTTCTGGAGGTCAAGGCCACCGGTGGCCCTGGCCAGGCCTTTGTGGGTTGGCCTGGGAGTGGGCTCCTTGCAGGAGAGGTGTGGTCTGTCCGTTCCTGGCGTTTGCTGAAGGCCTGCTCTCCGCAGGGAGGTTTGGGCTCCTTTGGCTTAGGTACCCCTCGCGAAGCCCAGAGAGGTGAGTTCAGGTCTCACGGGCTTGGCCGTCAGCTCCACGGGGCTTCCGGCCTGTCCATGTGAGCTGTGTCCCTTTGGAAAAGTCCCCTCCCCTTCCCCTCTTTGCTCCTCTGAAAAACGGGGACCATTCCTACTTTGGGGGACTGCTGTGAGGGTTACAGATAGTGTTCGTGAGGGGACCTCTTCCCGCTGGTACACCCCCAGCCTTGAGGTTTTTCTAACTGGGGAGTGGGGGTGGGGCTCAAACCACCTGAAGTTGATGACAAGGAGTGGCCGTGTCCCAGGCATGTTAGCCGGGTGTGGCAGAGGGCAGGAAGAGGCAGACCCTTGCTGGTCCCTCATGCCGGTGGGTCCTGTGCGCAGATTGGCCCAATTAACCTTCCCAAGGACACCCTGGGGGAAGCCTTGTTCCCCTCTGACTCGACGAGGTGCTGGGACCTCGGTGTCAACCA